CACCGTTTTCATGTCTCTTGACTGTTTCAACTTAAGTGGTCAAAGGTATGCCTCGTCTTCTTTTGGCGGTCTCAGTTTCCAGCGACAAGATATTTTGGTCATATGGCTTTTATGGCAATATAGTCGGTAGTACATAGTCAATCTAATTATATTAATTTTAGTATTAATTTACGTATAGTATTAAGTTCCGAACTTGATAGGATAACATCAAAGACTACCACACCTACTTATAACACGTTAGTGTTATGGCCAAAAAAAGGGATTTTTTCCAAAAAACAATGCATGGTTGAACACTATCGATAACATTTAACCCATCCCTAGTGTATCCCATATGTTTTATTTGGTTGTGCATCGAGCAGTGTGCGTCGAATGCTTCGGCGCGGGAGAAAACAATCGAGTGTGCACGTGCCTGCTTCGCGCAATATGGTTGGTTATTACCAATTACTTTACTACGAGATGAGATTAGATTCAATAATGTACTTTATATTCCTTTTATCGTTTTACATATACTTCTAATATACGGTGCCTGGCGGTTAACAATATCGACTAACATCACACTGTATTTTTTTGAAGATGTCCTTTATAGTAACTGGAAAATAATAACAGAAAATGAGTCGAAGCGTGTAACCATGTTGAATTGCCTACACCAATTTTATATATACATATGTTCACATTACGAAAATACTTAGGATATAAGGTATTACAGATAATTTAAAAGTAAGTGTTTACCTACGTAATTCAAATAAGAAGAATGAACATTTTTATGAGGACTTTATAAAGTACAAAAAATGCTTGAAACGAATTCCCAATTTTGTAAAGTTATTCTAAAAATGTCTTTTTTGTACACAATTTTCTTCGCCTCTGATTAGGCATTTACTCAGACACAAAAGGACGTCCTTTTTCTGGGTAAACATGGCTATTTTGTATGGAACCTCCCTTTGGTATAGTTGCATGAGTGTGTATAGCAGCTTGACGGATCTGCTTTTACTGGTCGGTGATGATGCGTACTGACCAGATCGCATCGATTTGATAAAGAACGCATCGGTATGTGAAGCATTTCGGAAGTGTATCTGATATCGGAGAATGGATAGGCTCCAGTGACCCGTAACTATGGACTATTCGGCCGAATTAGGAACGCTCACCTGGCTTAAATAAGAACTGTCCTGTGCTGTGATCAATATTTCACTCTTCTAAAAAAAAATCGAGCTTGGTAGTGAAATAAAAAAGTAATCTAAGTTTAAAAGACATGCAATTATTTTAATTTCTCATAGAAATTCATGAAACAGATGATTCAATAAAAATAATACTTGGCTGTCATTTATGTAAATAATTTTTTCCTTCAAAGAATTTTATATGGACATTGTTGTCTTTCAAGACTACCTTACATCTTTTTGACGTATTGTTATTAATAAATTAAGGTCTTCAATAAAAATGTTACTCCAATTCATTTTTTTCTATGCAGTGGCTGGTATGACAGGCGTTCAAAGTATGTCTTGGTCACACTCGACAGACGTTCAAAAATGTAAGTTGTTATTTTTTAACGTTTAGAAGTCCATAATTAATTTTACGGGTAAAGGGTTTTTCGAATGGCTTTTTTAATTGAGTTTATCCTTTTAATGTTAACGGCTTTACTTGACTGTTTCAATATTGAATAAGATAGATGATATTTAATTTTTTTAGGAGAGTGCGTCGAACAGGGCAAATGGTGTTCCTACCCATTACACGTAAGTACAGTATATGAAACCAACTACAGTACGATACAACACTGCTACACCAATGAGAATTACGTTAATCTAACTTTTTGTTTATTTTTAACTAAATAAATAACAAAATAATAAATTTGAATGTTACCTAAATATTGTTTTCTTTTAATACATTTTAAATGCTAGTATTTATCTGTGTACGTAATTCCGTTTAAGCGATACAATTACCGCTTATTGATACAATAATTATAATATAATTAACCAAAGACCAATAATGAAGTATAGTCTCCTAAATATATCAAATTCCATTATTCACAGTAGTTTCTAGCAACATAGCCAAGTAAAAATAACACAAATAAAATCTTTTGCATCTCTGTTTCCTTAATAAAAGGGGAATATCTCGAGTGCAGTAAATCTGCTGGCTCCACGAAGCTACAAATTACGCTCAATATTGCCGCGATATTGGAGCATCTATCGGTTGCCGTTGACCGTGAGAATATAGCCTTTGAAGACACTTTAGTTATTCCTAGTTTTGTAAATTTTCTGTTATTTTTTTTTTCTTTAAGTTGCCACCCAATATAGGTAATAAAGGTATGTTGAACTTTTCGCACCCATTGTTATCCTGCCGCCCGAGCGCCCAACGTTCAGAATTGAATAATCCGTCCATCAGTTGCCTGCCCCATTTCTACTCTTGAGAGTAGAAATATGACATCAGATATTAAGCGTGATATGTCACCGGTTAAACGGAATAGCCCATAACAGGGAAAGATACTGAGGAATGTCCTGTTGTGGTTGTTTGTGAATAGCATGGGAACGTAGCTTGGGCTTGCGTAGAGGTACTTTTGAACATAAAACTGGGATATTTCCGTGAATTAATAGTTATTTCATCTTTACTGATCGAAGCTTCGTCTAGAACAACCGAGATGTTCTATTTTTACATCTTATTTTATAAAACATTATTCGAAATACAAACCTATGTTCATTCAGCCAGTAATTCTACTCATAGAGTAGAGAGCCTAGACTACAGTAGGAACACGTCCAAAATTGATCACAGTGATAATTAAACAAACTTGAAACTTGCACGCACTTCTGCAGTCAGGTGTAAAAGAATGCAGCCTTTGAGTTTGTCGTAGTCCACTAGTACTAGCTACTAGTAGCGTAATGCGTCTCAATAACAGCAGAACTCCTTGTGATAGAGTTCGTCCAGGGAAGTACTGCCACCTTAACTATTTCTACCACCAAGCAGTAATACGGGCATTTCTGCTTTCCGGTTTGAAGGGAAATAAGGGTGCTGGTGAAATTAAGGTTAAATAAGGTACCTGTAGGCACATGGGTCTTGTCAATTTATGTCTCAGGGTGACGGGCGCAGTGGCAGTGCCCATCAGATCTTTGCGACTTAAAACTCAGAGTGGCACTGCAACTTTTAAGCACAGGCGTGTAGCTTACCATCAGGCGCACGACTTGTCAGTCCCGTCACTTGATATTATAAAAATAAAAAATGAACGATAAAGCTGTTGCGCACTCGCAATCTAGTAAAAATGTAATACTTAACAACTCAATTTAAATATTGTTAAACTTTTATAAAAAACAAAGGAGAAACTCTATTGAAATAATACAATTCTGCAAACTGCTACCACTTACCGGAACCATAGGGTCAACGACATTATTATTACAAAGTTGATCTATATTTAACAAAAACTTAACAATTGGTCCAAAAAACTTAGTCCAACCGTCCTATTCTGCCCGAAATTGTCATAAATATTGCGCGAGGTGGAAAGAGACGGGTACAGTTTGTTAGTGAGGCTTCGTAGTGGGCAGGCTTTCGCAGTGATCCGTGACGTCCGTTCAGTTTGAAGACGGAATGACGATCGTGGTGAGAAATGACGACTTTCGTGTGGTCTCGCTCGCACTTTTTTTGCACAATGACAGTCGATGATGCAACTGGAAGTGTATTGTGATATCAACAAAGCCTTCCTTCATCCTTATCACGAAACCATAAGTAGTTTAAAAGCATTATGTGTATGTCACACAGTTTTACATCTGCATACTAAATAAAATTGCTTAGAAAAATTAAATCTTCATTCAGAATACTGATTTAGTAACTAATAAGTGTGGAATTACTCACACAAAATTCGTATAGGAAATGAAAAATAAAATAAATTTACATGAATACAATGATGCGTGCGTTGATATCTTTCGTTTTGTCACACGCGAGTAATACATTCGGCGATCGTAATGGCCCACATGCTTTATGTTCGAGTTCTGGTTCACAATGTGTATACATTCGTATGCCTTTTAAATAGAGTTTATTTTACTTATAGCTTAAGTGATAATATAAAAGTAGGTGTTAGGTGAACACATCAAATGGATATCTTTGGATTTTAGTAGAAGTTTGTACATTTTATTCGAATAAAAACAGTTAATTGATTTGCTAACTATGTGCTTTATGGTGTTAAGAATAATTCCAATTTACATTTTGTTTGGTTCAATATACACACTTTGACGATGACGTCATGGTTTTTTTGCAATTCATGTGACTTACTTCTCATAAGACGAAATTCTATTTTATAATTGTCTTATTTAAGTATATTATAATAATAACTAAAAAAAGAGCTAGTTGTGAATAAAAGTTGTTTAACTTTATTAGTTAGTTTGTCAACCATTATTAGTAGTTAGTATTACCCACAAAGGAGACAAAAAAACATTTGAATTTTATTATATTATATAACTTAATATACCTATTATTTTTTTCCAAAATTAGTTCTACCTATTTTCCTATATAATTAAATTGGATTTAATATGCTTGTGTCGATATCCAAGCCCAAACATGACGCTCAACTCTTCTTTCTATCATGCATACATTATTAAGTCTCACTAAGACAATAATACTAATGTAATAGGTTTCAATGCCCTCAAGTCAGTTAATACTTTTCTTATTGACAGATCTACTTACGAACACACAAAAAGCCATCCACGATCCACCACGGTCCATAAAACTCGAGCATTCATAATCCAATAGTTAATCCCGTTTCAAAAATAAACGAACCACTTCGAATGTTCCTAACACCCGTCAAAATCAAAACAAAACTCGTAAGCCGAGTCATCAACATCAGTCAAAGAAGATGCTTGTAACCGTTACACCGTCGACAGAACAGCCTCATCTATATATCGTCCACGTTAGTCCTTTCCGTGAGAAAATCTTAGAATCATCGACTGGTCTAATACATCCTATACGGAGAGCTGGAGGCTGCGAGAAGGTTTCATGGGTCGAAAAGCGCGCGAAGGCAGTGTAGCGCCGATGCTCGTGCGCACAGCACGCTCACACGATCCGAGCGGCGCACGCGACCTCTCACACCGTGCCACGCTACGCCGAATTTGAATTCGGGCCGCTTCGCGCCTCCCGTTCAAATCAGCTGATTCTACTAAAATGGAAGGAATGATTTTAAATCGCTTTCTTGTTGACTTGACCTAACTTCGCGTGATTTATTTAGTATATTATACTGAACGACGTATTAGGCTGTATACAGAAACTATATTCAGGAGAATGAAGTGACATTATCTTCGTAGACAAGAAAATAACGCATGTGTTCTAGTGTTCCGAATACAGTGCTAAACGTTTTCTAGGTCTGCTTAATTTTGTTTAGTGGTTACAAGGGCGTGAATTTGACTGGTTAGAAGTGTGAACTGAAAAGGTGTGAACAGTTGAATTTGCTCAAAATAGTGCGGCTCTACTGAAAACTACTTTTATAAAGTCTGGAAAAAGGAAGTCTGGGAAAAAGGATTGATCTGCTTCAAGATTACAGGTAAGGATATTTATTATTATTATATTCGTTTTTCGAAATAAGATATTAACCTAACCCTTTTTCTACGTGAGTAAGGTAAGATATATGGTTTTATTTCATAATGGACATTGGTACTCTATTTCAGGTTTACACGCGAGCTTGGTTTTTGCGAAAGCGATTGTAGCAATGCATTAGCGAAAGACTTTGTGTGTCGCTTTTTTGTTATACAAACAGGTGCGCAAGAGGTGCTGAAAGCAAATATGCATATTCTACAAACGCTGCATTACAGTTGTCCCTTCGACGCTTTTGAACATAAAACTACAATCTATCTTTCAACGGATTTATTATTCAAAATTTTGAATACATTACGGCGTTACTCTAAATCAAGAATAATTAATTATTTGTCATCAGAATCCCATTTTTTTTTTGTTGACATAACGCATATACATACAATTAAACTTCTTGGGTCTCTTTTCCAAAAACCTTATGTATATTATAGTGACGATTTTGACACATTCGCTTAAGACTTGTCATATACTTAAGTTATTTCTTAGAAGGTTTGGATTGCATTTTGGATTGCATTTCAGGCGCGAGTATTGAAATGAAAAAGGAATTAAATTTATTTTGAAATTTTTGTTATTTATTGTAAATATTATAAAATTGTTCAATGTGTCAGACAACCTTTCCAATCACTTGATCTCAAACTAGAAAATTTCCTGCACTATCTAAGCAAAAAAAATCCGGACCACTACCCAGAATATCCAGACCAGTTTCAATTCAGAAAAGGTTGTTTCGCAAATTGGTCTTACCGGGACCTCTTGATCCAACCCACTGTGCAATCCGTTGTGCCACCAAGATCGTCAATATTGTAACTCAATACGTAATGTTAATAAGTAATAATGAAAAAAACTACGTATTATTACCAAATCTTAAAGACAAGCTACGGAAAAAAAGTAAACATTTAAAGATATAATAATAAATGTCAAACTAACACAATTCTGTCAAATTAACAATAATTTAATAATAACACACACACTCACACACACACGAAACCCTGTATCGCGGGTATCATGGACACACACGTAGACAACCACAAATGACATCCAAATTCTCGAAAGAAATAAATGCAGGCCATACAAATATTTCTCCCGGCCTGGGAGCCGAAGCCAGGACCTCTGTGTGGCAGTCCATCATGTACCCTTTCAGTCACGGAGGCAGTTAATTAATAACAATAATTTAGCGAAATATCACATTTTTTTAAACACATTCAATAAGTCAAGATAATTAAGTTTAAATATTTTTGCCTAATGATTTAAAGTACCTATAAACTAAAACAGTCCGTACAATTGGCATAAAAACCACATCAGTACATATTTTCATTGGAGTAGTTTTTGTGAACGTTCTGCTTAATAGGTCAAGTTTATGACGCATCTGTAGTCAAACTGATTTAGGGGTCCTTTTAAGAACGTTTGCATTCAATGTATGAGTAATTCGCTGAAACAATTGTTTACAAGGACAGTATCAAAGCTCGATTTTCACGAAATTGCATGCTAGTACTAAAGACTCTCATGCACTAAAATACAATTTTAAAGCCTCAGTCTACATATGAATATACTGTTGATATATAATATTTTGTCGTTTTGGCAAGAGAGGCGAAATTGATAACACCTATTTATAACAAAGACCCTCTACAGCTTTTTACGATTTTTTTGCCTAAGTCATACAACGACGCTACGATAGCATTATTACTGTGTATATACAACTTAGGCAGAACTTATGTGGTCAGAAAAACTTTTGAAAAAAAAAACGCACAGCAAAAAATATTATACGCTTTTTGAATGGTACTAAAGTTTAGTACTCGAAATATAGTGATATTTCTACAACAACTTTACAACTTGAATAATACTAATAACGATTTATTTCAAACACTAGGTTAGTGGTGGTTATTAAAAAAAATAACACAGAACAAGAAAATTGCTACTTATGATATTATTGTAATATTCAGTTTGCCCAGGACCGAGACTTGTAGCACGCCATTGGTGTGCCTTGAGTGCTGCGCATATAGCCATAGTAACAAATAAAGTAACATAGCCAAAAGATTAAACTCTAGACTCTTACTTAGAGAAGACACCTGTCCCCAACACTAAAACTTATAAGAGTTGGTACACCCGGTAATACTTACATAAACTTTTTAAATTCATTTACACAAGCTAGGATTCAAAATCCTATGTCGAATTTATATTTTTATTATGAAGATGTTTTTATTTACCTTTATTTTCTTTATTTTCTCGCCATAATGATAATGAAGAAACACTCGTTTTTGGATGTACAAGTTACTGAATGTTTTTCGTCAAGTGGTACATTTGTCTTTTGATTAATAATTATAAGTAATGGCCACTATACTACGTTTTACGACCATGGCAAAAGTAATCGTCAAAACATAATATTGTGCAATTTTCATTATTAACCTCTCTAGAAATATCTTCATGGAGCTCAAACAGGGATTTCTATTTTGAAATAAGTCAAACTACACGAGAGTACCACTCCTTTCTACACTTCGATTTTCTGCATACAGTATAATATACCTTGTACAGTATACTGAACGTAATGTATTGTATTTAAATATATATTTTGTCTTTGTCCATATTTCAGATTTTTTTCAAAGGTTTTAAGTTAATGAATACTGTGCTGTAATAAATTGTATGATATCAATTTTCTTAAGCCATTTCATATTATTTTGACATGTGATGTGTGCATTTTAGTTTTAATGCAGAAGCACTATTATTGCGGGCTATAGAATAATACACGAGGTACAAAATGTATGACAGATCACAAAGATATGACACAAATTTGGCAAATTCCAAATATCAGGTTGAAATAACTATGAGATTCTAAACGCAACTCATGCGTATACTCGTAGATCCATAGACGTAGTATATATAACTAACTGGTTATGTAAGTTTTATACTGTAAGAGATAACAATACAAGAATAATCTTATCAATACAATACCTGATCACAATCCCCAAAAGTTTGAAAATAGAAACGGGATTAGGTATTACTATTATGCATTTTATTATAAAAACTCATCAGTCTTCAAAATGTTCTAATGCTATTAAATATCTCTAGGTTAAAAGTAAATTCTTGCAAGTATTTAAAAAATTCTTATGACTCTTCCGGCAGTGGTGCAACTCTACTCAACTACGCGTTTTCGAAGTCTGCTATTTCGTCTTCGTTCAATTAAAAAACCAGTCGTGGGCACTCATCGGAACGGTTACAAATATCCGATATCGACCCCTGACCTCCTGTTCCGTGAAACGCAATTAAATTTCTTTGGTCTAAATACTTGCACTTGCCTTTTTTTAACGAACAGGTTCCGTTTTCGTTTTATCGAGCTTCATTTACGCGATTTAGAAGAGATAAATTAGCCATATTTGATTTTCTAACTACATATATTTTCGATATTTAACAAAACAGACACGCTTATGTAGTATTTTTCATTTTAATGCATACTCGATTCGTATCATATATAATACAACAATAAAATATGAAGAGACCGAAACACAGGAACTTAAAACGAAATACTCAAGATGAAGCCCATCGAGTATACGTGCAAGCAAATATTTAAATTTCAATTCGAACGTCGCATATCAATGGGGAGCCATAAGCCACCGGGTTTTTATTTTTTTAAGCTGTAGTGGCCGCACTGAGACAATAAAGAAAAAGCCATAGGGGAAAAAGAAAAAACAATTCGAAAACAGCATCTAGATTCGAAACACTGGCTGATTCGAGGTTGGAAACAAAAGAAGTCGGCTCCCGCCTGACCGAGATCTTGGCGTACGCGGTCGCGGGCGCATCTCGTTTATTTTTAATTTTTTTTTGCTTTTTACCTTGCATCCATGTGATTTCGTTTCCCAGATGCATCACAATGAGACGGTCTATCGAAAGTCAGTAGCTATTTTCGACACGATAATAAGCATACTTTTCTTTTGGGTCTTAGATAACAAGGACGGTAACAATAATTAGAAAATCAACAACATATAAAACTAAAGAACACAATTATTAATTATCTTATACGCAATTGTACAGTATCATTATTACTTATTTATCTCTCAACGATTGCAATTATCTTTTCGTATTAGCTAAACGATCTTAGAACAGATTAGATCATCGTTTCTTTTATCTTAAAGATATAAACATGGGAAAATGATTACGCAAAGATCCAGGATTCGATCAAGTTGTTTGCTTACTCATCTTACCAATGACTAATGGTAAAATTCAAATAATTCTAACCAAAAACATATTGGAATCAAAAACAAATGATAGCGATCGTTTGTGCTGACCCTACGATCATTAATTCACCTGTAATTAGGAATAATTAATTGAATGTATAGATACATAAATTATTTATATATTATTATTTTTATCTACAAGTTATAAATGTACACGTAATAAATACACAGTATACGACATTCGCTTTACAAAAAACAAAAAATAAATAAAAATTCCACCAAGTGCGAGTGGCATACTCGAAGCAATAATGATATTTCCTTGTTCAAAAATTAACCTTTCAACAACTGAGTTTCAAAAACAAATGGTAATGGTTGTAAATATTTACTTCGTATTTTTAACCGCATTAGCGCGCGGGTCGCGAAGGCCCAACGGGGTAGGTCGAATTAACACCACCATTTAGCGGTCACTTACAGGGTGCAGGTGGTCTTTTGTTTAAGCGACCACGGATTTTAAACAGACCAAAAAGTGTGATGTTTTAAGTACGTGATTATGGTTATACCTTTAGTTTGACACATTCAAAGGTATAAAATAGTATTATTATACATCTCTATCAATCGTCGTTCGGTTCACTAACTTTAGTAGCCATAGAGCTCCATGTGAAAGAGTTCTTCCAGGGAAGTACTGCCACCTTACCCATTTCGACCGCCGAGCAGTGTGAACATTACTACGTTCTGGTTTGGAAGGGTACGAGTGCTAGTGAAATTACAGGCGCATGGGACTTGTCAACTT